GTGGGCACAGCCCGGCTGCACGCGCATACCCGCCACGATGAGCGTTCCCCGAGGCGACGCTACTTGAGGAGGGCGCCTGCAACGCGCTGGGTAGGCCAACCCGCCGGGCAGCCGTGTGGAGATGGCGGCCCGCCCCGGGCCGGATGGGCGCCCCAAGAGGTGGCAAACACGAGCAAACTGCATTGAAACGGCATTTTCGGTCGGCGCGTCTACATGCATTTTAGGCGCGTTTTTGGACGGGGCATAAAATGCAGTTTTAATGCTGTTCTGCTATTTGGGGCCTTAGAGAGAGTAATTTCACTGGCTCTAAAGAAAAATAACTGCAGCCTACTCTCGTAACTGAATTCTCTCCCAAACCACTGGCTGGTTGTCACCGTTAACGACGCCATCAACCGCCAATCAGTGTAACGATGAAAACTGTTCAGGGAGAACTGTTACTCTATGGGTTTCTCAACTCCATTGTCCTAGTCCTAGTGCAGGGGCTCGTCACTTCCAGTCACTTTCATTCGGGGGCTGCCCTCGAGGCCGAGGCTGACTTGTCCCTGTGGCCGCAGGTGGCGTGGGACACGGACACCGGCCTGGGCGAGTGGAAGGGTCTGCCGCCCCTGTGGTTCTGCACCCACTGGCTCGCCATGAGCCACTCGTGCCTCAACCCGCTCATCTACTACTGGATGAACGTCCGCTTCCGGGCCTGCTACCGCGTGGCGCTGGCGCCGCTGGCGCGCTGCCTGCCCTGTGTGGGCCCCTGGCCGGCCCCCGGGGCCCTGGACACGCACGGGCACCTGGCGCAGCCCACCCACTCGACGTGGACCACCGTGCAGCTCGCCAGCTACCCGCCGCGCGCCCGCTGCAAGCACAAGCACGCGGCCAGCGAGGAAGCCATGGGCATGCTCGTGGTGGGCGACATGGTCTGAACGAGGGGGGTTTCTTTCACATTATTCATAAAAACAATGATTAAAAGTCTTATCTACATCTTTATTATATATTTTTAACACGTTTGCAAGAGCAGAGGTTCTTACAATGTACCAAACGACAAAGAAGTCTTTTTTGACAGTCGATGCTTGGAAATTCATATATATTTTTTTATTGCAAAAAGTACAATTGACTTTATTCGGAACTTGAAGGTAAGGCGAGTGGTTTCAAGAACAGGTTTACTATGAGATTGAAACCAATCCTTCAAATGTGAATTATCATAGGTAAAAAGAAAAACATACAATTTAACATTAAAACTACATTAATTTGCAAATCTAGTATAGTCAACATTTTATAGACAGTTCAAATATGGAAACAACAAATGGCAAACAATGCAGTCAGGTACAACAGAAAAAGTGACCAATGACAGTTAAAACAAGGAAAATATGCTTCCTCACAACCATTGTTCATCACTATTGAAATGGTTGAAAAAACACAGAACTTGTTCAGTAGTGAAATAGAAGCACATTGCAGACAGCAAGAATGAGAAGATAAAATAAAAGGTGCATCAGCAGTAAAAAAAACCTTTGTTCATCACAACGTTTTACTAAAACTGAGCAACTTACATATCTTTGTTTCTGACTAGTGCATGAAAAGAGAACCACTACTGTATTAAAATTTATGCTCATCATATGATGAAGTTTCTTTATGGAATCACAGATACATCCCATCATAAATTTGATTAATAAAATCTTACAAGCCTGTGATGTAGACATTAACAAACAAAGAAGCATAATAAAAGTTTGGCAGACAAAAGAGGAGCAAAGCAGTTTTATCAACAAAATTTCATCTCCAATTAACTAGTCAAACTGTTGCAACTAATACAAAAACAAATGCTGTACAATTTTCAGACAAAACCTTTCACATGGAGTTGACAGGAATATCATCTTCAATATTCTTCTGAGTTTCAAATTGGAAGGGAACCCCTGTGTATGCATCATTATCCACACAATGTTGTAATAATGCTCGCCAACACTTGTCATGTTGCAATACATTAGGGTTACCCACAATCACCAGTAAGGATCTGGCTCTAGTGACAGCCACATTGAACCTCTGAAATAAAAATTGTATTAGATAAATAGAACTGTTTTCTTTCATGAAATGATAGATCATTGACAAGACATAGCAAGTGAATACCTTAGGATTCTTCAGAAAACCGAGCTGGAACATATAATCAAATGACAAAAACTGGAACCGGCTGCGTACAGTGCTTATTATTATGACTTTACGTTCTTGGCCTTGGAATTGTTCAACAGATCCAACATCAATATCTGGCAACCTCAGTAGATCACATGCTTTTCTCATTTTCTTCACCTATAAAATAAAAATAATGCTAATGCAATGACAGTTGGAACATACTACAGGATTAGACTAGATTCTTGAGTGTAAACATATATTTTACCTGCATGTTATATGGAGTGACCACTCCAATTTCTTTAGCATCAGCAATTCTGTCAGCTAAAATTTTCTGGATGTAGTCAGTAACTACTTCCACCTCTTGACGATTAAAGAAACTATACAGGGGTAAAATAACATTATTTTTAATGCACATTGAGAAATTTGCAAGATTTGAGAAAATCAGAGTTATAAATTTTCTATTACCTAGGGGAAGTTCCTTCACGCTCATCTACACCATCGACACCATGGAAAACAAGAGGGAAACCTTTCTTTTTCAAGCCTTGCCACTTGCATATAGATTCAGTCACTTTCTTGTCACCAACGGCCTGCAAATATTCAACACAAAATCAGACACATATTTCATAAAATGACAAGAAGATATTGAATCTACTACCGTAATCCACAATCTAATTTTGATCCAGAATTTAATTTTAATACATACCTGTAGCTCCTCATCATAAAACAGCTGGTTGGGTACAGACAGTATAGATGGATGAGATCTATAGTTCAAGACAAGTTTAGTGAGGACATTTGAATCATAACGATGAGTGTCTGGCTTCTTACTATACAAAGGCATACCCATTAGTCGTTCAAGCATTGATTTATCTAAAAAATGAAAGACAATACATAGTTATTTTCAAAATATAGGAAAAGAACTAACTAGAATGGATACATGAGGACTCACCTAAACCAAATTTAGCAGCAATTGGAGACTGCAAAATTGGACCCAGCTGTTTAGGATCTCCAGCCATTATTACCTGACAACAGAATTTGGTTGCATTCGGATTTGTAGCCAAACCTGCTAAAGGTATCAAAGCTTCCGTTTCTAGAGCCTGTCCGACTTCGTCCATCACAATGTGAGTGAAGTGACCAGCAGGTACTTCAGCAAGGATCAGTCTAAAATGGTTATTGAAAATTAGAATGATTAAATCTTTAAAAAGCATTAGAAGAAGAATATGCTGAAACCAGTACAGAACACATACTTTGAGATGTTTGAAAAAGTAGAAACAACAATATCAAAGCTCATTATGACGTGTTTGGGAGGGAAGTAAACTTCTCTATCTCGAGGGTCGTGGTTGGTAATGCCCAGTTCAGTGAATTGTTCAGGCATCATGTGGTAAGATCTTGACATGGCACACATGCGAAGAATGTGTTTCTTCAAATTATCTGGCTGTACTGTCAATGGCACCATGGTACACATTTTTTCAAGTAGGCGAGAAGTGATTTCATCAGCAGCAGAATTGGATGGTGCACAAACAAGAATACGAGTTTTCTTCCTATTAGGATCCCAAAGCTGAAGAAAACAAAACAAAACAAAAAAGAAGATAATGCTTTATGTTAGTACACTATTCTTGAACAGCAACAACATAATCAAGTTCTCACCTGCAAAATGGCTTCAACTAAAGTTACAGTCTTTCCAGTGCCTGGAGGTCCGAATACCAAGTAAGGTGAATTCTGAGAGGAGTTATGAACTATATTGCGCACTGCAGCTTGCTGCTCAGGATTTTTTGAAATATTTTTGTTAAACCATGGCCTAGAAAAAGATTTGTGTTGTTTATTTATTTTTAGATGATTTATCTCTCAAATTAAAAATATGACGATATCTATTTAAGGTTTGGAGGGAATTGGAATAAAAAACATTTACACATCTTACCTTAAAGGAGGTTGCTGAGTTGGTTTACTCTCTTTGTAAGGAAACAAGAGATGTGAAGCATTGTGGTAAGTGATGAGGTACAAAGCTCTGTGCATGCTCCTAAGAACACTTCTATTAATTGTGAAGCGAACCTCTAAGGGTTGATTTGTATATTTCTCAACAAACCTGTAAAAGTAACAAAGCATATTATGCATACTTAGTGCTTGGATAAAGACAGCTCAGCAAAACCACAAACAAAGATTCATACCTATCATGTAATCCCAAACGGACATAGGAATTTTCAATTTTTTGGATGAAGCCCTCATAAGCACATGAATGGTCATTGAGAAATGTTAAAAGAACAGTATCATTAATTAAGAGTGATGGGCGTTTATCTACAAGGCCTGGGACCTAAGACACGAAACAAATATTGATGGTGAATAGATAGATATAGCAACTAGTGTGAAGTATGAAAAAGACAACTTTAGACTACACTTACCTTTAACCACAACCCTTCATTCATTTTCCTCAGCACAGCATGATGCATATCATAATAATGAATATCTCTACTCATTTGGTGTTCCTCAATAAACAAAAGAAGCTCCAAAAGACTAGCATAATTTTGTGGGTTCAGTGTGTCTGAAGAATTGGGCTTGGGAAGAAGAGACCTAGAAATAAATATTTGTGTAATGTAATATTTTGACCAAAACTTTCAAGACAAAAACAATTTTAGTTTCGTGTCTACTAGTATCTCTACCTGACTTCTTCCAGCTTCTGTCTTTCATAAGGTGTCATGCTGTCTTGAACTTTAAACCCATTGTTGAGAAAGCGCAGTAAAATGCTTGGAATTGCAAACTCCAAATTCTTAAGTTTGTGAGTTAATTCTAGTTGCTGTGCTCGTCTGCAAAGGGCAAATACATACATATTACTGATCCGTGATCTGTAAAAACATTTAAAATGGTAGGCTATTAGGAGAGGGTAATATTTACTTTTCTTTAGGCTTTCCTGGTAAAATTGAAGCATCTTGAAGTTTAACAACAGGTCCCATTGAAGGGCAGAAAGGTTCTGAAGGACCTAGCTGGTCCATCAATTCAGATTGGATGAGAATTTGCTGCAGAAGAATCCAGTAATAATGAATCATGATATCAAAAACTAAAGTTTTCAGACCAGTCATGCAATTTCAAAATTGTAACAAACTTACAATATCTGCCAGGTGATATTTTACTGTGCCATTGGCACCTGCTGCAGCTGGTCTAAGTTTAAAAATAAGAGGAAACATGACAGCACTTCTAGCAGAAAATTGGGCTTTTATTTCCACTATATGTGATTTCCCTGAAAAAAACAAAACAGTATGTGAGAGATTTAAAAAAAAAAATAAAAAAAATACACCACCACATTTAATTTTGTTAAGTACAAATTACAAACCAGGGATGAGAGAAATTGATTCAAATTCCCCCAACTTCACATCTTTATGTGGTATTAGAGGTATGATTTTTTCAAGAAACATTTCTTTCATGTCTAACAGACTGGTAAACTCAACTTGAATTTCATACTTCTGACCAACTCGACATGACTTCTGTAGTACTGCTCCGGGCTGCACTTTATCTAAATCAAGGCCCAAAATTTTCACGGCCAGTAGGTGCTTTCCCTCATCGAAGCTCTTCCTGCAAGATAAGTTGTTTACGATATGCACTCATTTTTAAGTATATGTTCCAGACAATACAGCTTGTGAATGATTGAGGCATCTCACACACACCTGCTTCGGCGGTAAGCAACACGCAAGTTATGAAGTTCTTCTTTCTTGTGCTCTTCTATCGTAGAGGGGCTCAGAGGAACCTTACATATGTCACATTTTTCACTTGACACACCATCTGGGCGCTGCTGATTCTCTCGCTCCTGTGTATACCTCTGACTAATAATAAATCGTGGCTTTGGTTTGCACAGCTTACTTGGAAGTTTGTCTGGAATTTCTCCTACAGAAATTTAAGAAGAGTAACATGAATATTTTTTAGTTTGAAGTGTGCAAATAACAAGTCAATTCTTGTTAATACAATCCCCGGATACAACAATTACCCCGCAGTAACAATTTTTTCCTCCCTATCTGATGCAATTTGTATGCATTAAAAAAATGGTATTTGATATAATGATTTACCCATAATAACATTTTGGGCCCGTGGTCCCAATAAAATTGCACTAAAGGCAATTGCGTGAACTAGTAGATGTGCAACTAGATTGCACATTTGCATTGTACAGATTGTTGCATGTGCAACTTGAGAGTTGTGCACTATTAAGTGTTCTCTCTAGTTGCACCCTTTCTTAAAAGAGTGAGCACAAGCCAAGGAAGTGTACAACTGTTCAACAATTACAAAAAAGGCACAACTATCAAGTTGCACACTTTGCAAGTGTTTATCTTGCAGTAGCACACTGTAAAGTGTTAAGGAGTCAAACACTTGGTTTGACATTGAAACAAACAAACCAAATTCTTCAATTATTTTTGCGAGTATTTAGGTATTTACCTGTATTAAAACCAAGTTCTTCTATGCGGTTCCATTTAAAATTAACATCAGAGTTGTCTTTATTTGATGGCTTCTCTAACAACCCTGTTTTGGCCAGAGTAGGAACCAAATTCTTCATTTCTAAGCACTGTGCTCGATACTGAGGCTGGTATTCTTCACTAAAGACCCGCTTTAACTCGTCTCTGGATATACAGGGTTGTTGATGGGTAATCTTCTTAGTAGTACAGAGGAATTGAGTGAAGTGACAGGCAGCTTCTGTAAAATTTTTAAGTCAGTGGAGGTGATTAGAAATATGTGAAGCACCAGTAGCTTGTGCATATTTTGCTAATCATTATGAAATCTCAAAACAAAAAAATGTATGATTCCAAATCAACACTACAGCCATTTCCACAGAACATAACTGACATGAAAACACGTTAGAGACAAAAGGGAAGATAATCATACTATGTTATCTTTTAATCACTCAAGCAAACTGTTATCTTCATATTGAGGTAGGATATGATTCATTCGCAAAAGCGGCGTATATATACAAGAAATAAAAGAGAAATAACTGAAGCACTACGATCGCCGGAGAGTTGACTCGTACCCCAATTTCACGTACACGTAGTAAAATCGACGAAAACTGTCACAAAACCCGTAAACAACGTTTGCTTCGTACTCCCGGCCCCCCGGTGTACGTGGAGGGCATGAGTTGCCACTAGACTGACTAGGTTAGTCGCACCCAATACGCTCGCTGCAGGCCATGGACAAACCTTGAGAAGCACATAGGGGGGAATAATCTGCAATCAGCTGACCACATATGGCGGGTGGGCAAAGTGTCTCCCTCGCCTGTCGCTGGGCAGTGGCAGGGGGTCTTTCACGTGTAAACAATCAGAGGTCCGGGCCCGCGGCCGGCACGCACCTTTACTGCTGGCGCTGGCCATCCTTGGTGAGGATCGGCGCTTGGCCCAAAGTCGATCGAACTTCACTTCAGCTGTCAATCAGCCCAGCGCGCGCTCGCCTTAACTTTCGTAAGCACAGCGCTTAACATAAAGGGAAGTTGACGACGGTGCGCGGTGATTCCCAGTGCCGATACGGTACGATCGACCCGCAGCGCCGCCGCTACACGTTTGGAAACGGGCGGACGAGGCGAACGCCCTTGCCAGGGCTGTTCTGTTTGGGGCAGGTTGGGGAGAGGGGAGGGGAGAGGGGCGGGGCGGGGAAGGGCTTTAATTCACCACACCCTCCAGCGCAAGACCAAGCAGCCGAGGCACATGGAATCACACAAAGCTAATTTTCTGATAAGATAAATATTTTATTGTACAAAGTCGAATAAAAATTAACATGTAGATGAAGTTGCAACTAATTTTCCTTGTCCTCTTTAAGGTTGTCATATGCTCTTGTACCTGACTCTTGGATGACACCCCATACCTCTTCGCGAATTTTCTTCAGTGGCATGGATTTGTCCAATTGTATTGCCTTAACAAAATTGGTGCGATGATTGGTGAG